CTTGATAAGTCATTGGTGGACCATTAAAAGTATCTTATAACCTGTAGGACCGGGAGGCTTTGGACGGCGATTTACACCAAGCACTTTAATGTTTATTTCTTGAGAAATCCGACGATGATATAAGTACTAAGTACTAACATATTTTGACCTTTAAATTGGAGGAAAAAATGTTTATATCATTGTGGTCTAAGGATGATTAATTCGTTGTGCATGTATGACATTAATATTGATAAGAATGTAAAGATAATTCGTTTAACGTCTCCAGCGTGCAGTTTACATGATTTGAATTATAATTGCATTATGCACATAAATATTAATGTCATATCATATAAATCTAATAGTACACTGGTATTCAACACAAGGTTCGCGTGTCTATACATACTACATGTATATTAAGACCAACTGATTAAAGTACGTGGGTGGACACTGTATTAAAGAACTTTGACATGTATAATAAATAGTCTAGACGATTCGCAAAATAAGTTATTATATAGTCTATCTAACGATATTGATGAAAGCATAATATGAAGTTAATCCTGAGCTCAATTTATTATTTTGTATGTTGAAGAGTCTTCCAGTTTGACACCATGTACCTTTCCATATCCGACTTGACCGTATTCTTCTGCTTTATTCAATGATTGAACTGATTTTATGGGGCGTTAACAGCTTTCTTTGGTAAGAATTCCCTTGTAATGGCTGTTTCTTTAATGTAATACTTCAAGAGAGTTCTTAATTATGGAGAAAATATACAGACTTAGTTGGTGGCGAGCTTACTCTTTCTAGAACACCTGATACCACTTCTCATTCGATGAGTTTTCAGCTTACGGTTTTTGGGAGTACTTATTTGGCATTCGTATATCGAGAATAATTGTGTCTTGGCAATCCTTGGTTTTATTAGTTCTTTAGTCCTTGATTTTATGTTTTAATTATAGATGTTTATCTCGATTTATCTTTTAATTTATAATTTCTTAGTTATAGATTATTCGTTAAGATTTGCTTTTGCATGTTGTTAGTTAAAGAGAAATCGTTATGGCTTAACAATGAATACACGTATGGGGTTATTTAAATGTTCTTATCTTGGAAGACATTGTCTTGAATGAATGACATGGTGTATTAAATACTTCTTTTCTATTAACTAACCTATGAATACCTGAAATTCTTAGCGGTAAAGAATAATTCACCCAGCACGAAGGTCGACATGTTTTATATAATGTAAATATTGAAGTGTTATTCAAGCAACGTTGACCTGATAAAACTATGTTATATTAAACCACTTAAATAATATTGCTATGAAAACTTGATGTCCACAATATATGTCCGGTTTTAACCAGAGTTGTGGAAAGGTCAACAATGAGAGCTCGTCGCAATTTATATATCATTCTAATATATAAGTATATTATTACGTATGTAAGGAGAATGTAAATAGTATACATTGTATAGTAAGTATAACGTTACTTACATAGTTTGTTTATGTGTTCTAAACAAGGATGGTATACCACGTTCTATCAAGATGCGCTGTTTACCGTTATTAGACAATGACTGGCTATTTAAAGAATTTATCAGCTTGATGTCCGTAGTGTTGTTCCTACTCCATATACGTCAACTGGACATCTGTCATGATCCTATTTGACCCCACTAAGACCTAAAATCGATTTTTGATGTATAATGTCCGGCTGTAGTGAGTCTATTCATTGTTGTAAGTTTAGTAATCTATCAAAGCTTGCTTCACTGAAAGCCCAGAATAAGTACTATATAAGGATATACCGAATTTCATCGTAGTCTTAACAGTTTAGTTCTAGAAGATATGAACAGATATTTTAGTTATTAAGTCGTCACAGGTCAAGACTCATAAATAAAGGTAATTATTTTATATAACTTAGGATAGGACAGATAAATATATGACATCAGGAGAGTAGGGGATAGGATAGGTGGGTCTAGTCAAGCCCACGAGGGATGCGTTTAGTTTTGAATTACTAATATCAGCTCACGATGTTTGTTTATAAATGAATGCTATCAGTTTGATATCATACTAATCCTAGGATGAGCATATATCCGATTTACGATTAGGTAAGTTGTTAATCTGATAAAAAAAACCCGTTAAGAATTGAAAAATTTAGAAATTGTGTTGTAAAATAATTTAATCAAGGTCTCGTTGTAATTCAGTTCCTTTCATGGAAATGGACGATGAACGATGAACAGAAACTGTTCATCTTCTTGAAAGAAATACATTGAAATACTTCAATATATAGCCATTGTGATAGATGTGTGTACGGTGAACTAATTGTGTAGGGAGTTATATATTAGAAATACTCGTCTTTTATATTTGGCCAGAATATCATTTAAATATTATATAATCGATTGACAATGAACAGATTCTTCTTTCATCAATCTTTATGAAAATTCCAACAACAGACACCTTGGCAAATTGGATAGAACATTAACACTTCATTTTTCTTCGGTTTCAATTGTCTGCTCAGGTGTCTCTCAAAGCTGTCGGATTTGAACAGTTCATGAGGAAAAACACTTTTGGAAATTAATCTTTTTGTCAGCCTATCTTAAGTTGAATGAGTAATTCTGTATGTACATGCTGTTGTCTAGATGCGTGGGTTGATGGCTGAATTATTGAATTAAATAAAATATCTCAAGAGTGTAGCCATGTTTGGCATGATCAATATGCAATCAATAATATTATAAAGGTATTAACGGAAACATGTGTTAACCTATTTACGTCTCAAATTAAAGAGCAACTGTGTATAAGTGGGCTATTCAACCTACTCGTTCATTATAAGAGAATTAATCTAGATATTAACTAGTGCCAGCATGTCTTAAATCATAATTATTTCTCCACGATTCTCTTCGATTATCATTTAATATTTTCTTACTAAAGCTCCACTATCTAATTTAAAGACTTAAACTTATGTTGAAAGCTAAACAGGTAGACTGAATATAGCTTAATGTATAATATAATTAATGTATTTAAAAAAAAGGGACTTAATACCCTATTGATATTGGATATTCCATGTTTTTCATGTTATGCTCAAATGATATTTCGAGAGGATGAATTAGACGTCCAGACTAATGTGATAAGACCTTCTGTTTCTTGAATACATAATAATGAACTGTGGAATCACGCGTCTGAAGAGTTATATTGTGAATATGGTTTTAATCTCAGATTTATAGAAATGAAAAAGGAAATGGGGTTTAACGTCCAACTGCTCTGCTCCGCCTGGTCTAATGAAGACGGGCAGATTTATAGAAGAGCACAATAGCAGGGGAGCTTAGATAATACAAATATACCTCTGAGCTGTGGTTTAATAATGAATACCTGCAAATAAATATGTCTCACAATATTATAGTTCAATAATGAATACACGTAGTTAACTTTAAAATGGTAATATCGTAGTTACCAGAACTATGATCATAATTCTGGTAAAATACGAGCTAAAGATCCTATACATAATAGTTATCCCCGTCTACGTTTGCACGTCTGCAGTCTATCCATAGATGAAAAGTCTTTCTCTTCTTAAAAATTGAAGGACATTCCCAGCGTTACAAAATTGTTGACGATGGAATTCAAGTTATCTTTCCCTCTATCCTAGATAAGACTGTAATTGCGCAATAATCTGACTGGGCGCCGGTCTGCATTAAAGAGAATTGAAAGAAAATGGCTGAACACCGGAAGTTGACGAGAACCGCCTTTCTTTACGTTGAAAAGGTTACATTCACTGTGTGTTTTGGTTGTGTACGGTATGCTTTTCCTCATTAACAGTTTTCAAAATAAACGTGCCGTGTTCAAGCTATCCTTGATATTTTAATTGAGTGTAATCATGTTCAGTAAATAGGCATGGCCACAAACCTAGTAAATGTTGACTTCTGCCACCAGAAATGCTGAACAGGCGACAATATAAAATCAGTGTGGCAAACGTATAAATGACACTCTGTAGAAATGTAATTTTTGAAATTCCCCAAGTTTTACATTGTCTACCATGAAGTTTGGCATAATGTGGTCGGCCATTGGAAACTCCGTTCTGTTGTATTATATCTCAGAACCTATCTTTATTAACCCAGTCGGTATAGAACAGTAGGATGCTAAATCCCAGTTCATTCTCTGAACAATGTCCTTTTTCTAAGTAATTTTTATACGCCCACATTGAAATGTAGTCGTATATTGCCGTCGCTTGTAGACGCTCTGGAGGCTAAAGTTAATATCTGAATGACTTTAAATTCATACACTGACGAAGAGGCCTATTGATTTTCAACGATTTCTATTATTACTGTCAGAATTATGGCCCTTGACTACTCTGAAAAATCTTGTTAACGCTTTAGAGGCTAAAGTTAATATGGCCTTGGTATAAAATATTTTGTATACTAAACGTTAGTGTATGGCAGATCACTATTAGAAGCCAAACAAATTCTAATAACTTCTGATAATTACTTAATGAGTTTTAACTCAGAGTCAGATTTTAGTGTCTTGTAAATGTTTTCATTACTGGCAAAAGAAAGAAATATGCGACAACCCTGGTTACCTGTCCGGACGACTTAGCTGGTTCATTGTCTGGCAACCTATCTTTGTATTTTCCTATTCAAATATTAGGAGTCATTGAGTGAAGCAAAACATATGACACTTATTTTGTGAAGGGAATACATTCTTGAAATCTGAAGAATATGTGAAATGGGCAAACTAGTCTAAACCACAAAACTTCACGTAAATGATTGAAATCAGAATATTTCTTAATGTAGTAATATTGCAGTTTTATAGGCTTACCTAAATCTTTTAACGACTGAACCAATTATTGATAAATATATGTTGATTTTCCATTACCTGTCATACAAGGAAATAAACAAAATATTTCCTTCATTATGGCTAAAATACAAATAACTTTTAGTTTTCAACCATTTCCTTTGCTATTTCAATCATACATAAGTTTAATATCCCAGTGGAAATGAATATGATTCTACATGTATTCATGTATCACTAATTTCGTTTTATTTGTTTTCAGAATCCAGTCCTGTTGAACAGATTAAAGATGTCCATTAACAGTTAGAGGAATATTATCAGTTCCGAGTTCAACTTAAAGAAAGGTTTATACCATTTTCTGGTGTAAACAGTTTATAGTGACGCTACATAATTCGTGTTTTATCATAAATAAGAACATAGTGTGCCTTGGTGCTAAGTTCACAAAAGCGAAGCCTCGTTTAAAACGATTCCGATAGCTGAGCATGTAACTGGAAACTTGAAAAGCAGATCACTTAATGTATATTCCGTATGGTTGTTCAGTCGTAAATCTTATTATGATGAACAGATATTTTGTTAACTGTCATAAATAGTTCGTGAATGTTTTTAAAAAGACACCACGACAGTGTTTGGAATCTTTGAATTAAACTATCAAGGGATTTCTATCCACCTTGACATTTAAGATAAAAGCTTCTTCATTCATCTTTGTCTTATTGTGTTCTTTATCGCTTCATCACCGACAATAGTAGGATATTTTACATTGTGTTCTCATGAGAAAAATATGAATTTAGATAAATCACTAAACTATGAGTTCGGGATATTCGTCAGTGTTTTGTGGACAGCTTGATTTCGACAAGCCTAAAACATCCACGGAAAAGAAACCTATGACACAGACTGAGTTGACAACAAATAAACCTGTGTACACGTCAACAAAACATGTGTTAAAGGAACAAGGGCAGATAAGTCAAAACGAGGAAGGTATTCGACGTCTTAACGGTAAATATGAGTCGCCAGGTAATGTTATGACTCAACTACCGACTGGATTTAGTACAGGTATACCGCTAAACGGTGTAGAGATTAAACAGCACGCGGCAGTCAGTCCTACTCTAGCGTTATCTCCTAACATGATATATAACGGCAATTCTGCTATGTCGGATGGTTCCTCTGAGCTTTCTTGGCACGGATCTTCGGAACCAGGAAACAATGTATTCGCCGAAGGTGTTCAGGAACATGATCTGTTACAAGTGGAAATGTTTTATAGAAGTCATAAGACTGAAGTGACTGTTGGAAAGTGCCTGGCTAACCTTTATTTTGGTTCAGCCAAACAGACTGATGTTGAGAAATGGGATTTCGCGAATACAGGAATACCGCTTTTAGTGTTGGACACGGGGGAGCATCATCGGAATAGGAAACTAACATTTATTCTTGCCGAGAAAGGAACGGGCTTCACATTATGGAAGGACTCCATTGATCACCTGACAAAATACTCGAGCCCCAGTTCGAACTTTCATACCATGCATGTGTCGACAGATCATACGAAACTAGCTGGTCTTAGTTTTGATGATACGAATGCGGCTTCGGAGTTTTTCAACTTTATTCAAACAATAACCGGCGATCCGGAGGACGATCTGCTAAACCTGAGTAAAAAGAAGAAGAAAAAGAAAGAAAAGAAAGAAAAGAAACCTAAATTTAAACCTCCAAAACGATCGGATATATCTCAACCATGTTGTTTCGTTCACGTTACGAAATTGGAACCCCCGGAGTTGATACCACCGCCATCCCGAGATTCCGTGAATGAACTATCGGCAATGATTTCGAATAAGTTGGACATCCCTCGCAGTGAAAGCTCGGAAATATCCGAGGATTCTTCGTCACATACGGCGTCGGAGAGATTATGAAATTTGAACCACAACAGTTCTGAAGTGAATAAACTTACATAATATTTTCTTTTAATATGGACGGCGTTATATTTGGTGCATGAACTAAACTATTTTATGGTTTACGGTCTTTTGTGATAGTGATATTTCTAAATTGTATATACACGTGGGGAATTACCCTATCATAAATCAAGCAACTATCGGTGCGAGGAGAACAAAAGTGAAACTAATGATAACAATAAAAAAGGTGCTACATTACGTCTTATCCAATAACATTGAGATCTCGATAAAAAAAAATACATGAAACTTCCTTATCTGACTAATAATCGCCAAAATATGGTCAATCCTAATATTTGTGCATTTTTCATATTATGTGGCTCTATCAATAAGTGATTTCTATGAAACAATTGCTTCCAGAAAAAAATGAATTAGAAAAGAAATGCATCGTATATTCTATTGCGAACTTAGTATAATACACCTGCGTTCTATTTTAGTCTGCAAAGTCATAAACATCGTGAAGTTTTTGATGTTTTATTTGGGTAAAGGATGGGATATTATATACTGTATATTAACGTATACGACTGTTTAGACTTAACGCGGGATATTTATACTCTCAAAGTTGATGGATTGAGCACTGAAGTTATAACAAGAAAAAACATTCATCAAGCCTATTACACCATAATAAATACGATCACATAACACCTTTTCTCATTCACGCATCATATCGTCTACTCTAGGTGAAATGGACCAATTATAATTCTTGTAGCATCTGTGAAAGGTATGACGTGAAAGAATTGATGGTTATTAATAACAGAGGCTAATTAACAAAAACACTTTGTTTGCCTGAAATGGAAACACTTACTTCCGTGTAAAACAAATATTTACTTACAATAAAAGAGAAGCATAATGATAGTATATCTATTGTTTACTTATAATTACGTAAATAAAAAGAGATTAATTGTTTGAATTTGAAACGGATAATGTAAAGTGTTTACATGGTGCCAGTGATACTATTTCTTATATTATATGTATACTATCTTGATGGCATTTTTGTGTTTATATTTATATAAAACATTCTGACAATGGAATGTCTACATGTATACATTTATTATATATTACATAAGGAATTCTCTAGTCGAAGTTTAAGAAAGGCCATGCATGCCTTTCGGGCTTTGTGAAACACCGCTATTTAACAAACACAGTGTTCCAAATACTTTCTAAGCAACTTGTAACCGTTCCTCTGCTCAACGTTAAATCGTTCTCTATTTTATCTAGTGTATATGCTAACTGTTATATATACAGTGATTTTAGTTTATTTTAAGAAAGCGTGTCTAAGTATAATATTTCTGTGTGCCAAACTGTATTATACGACGGATTTAAACAAAATTCCACAACAATTTGTTTGTTATTCTGAAATGTGCAAGCTTTTAGAAATATCTATTCTATTTTACTGCCCGTTATTCTTTTGACGAAATAAAATATATTATACAGAACAGTTTTTCCTTTAAGAGAGTTATAACATGATGGGGATGCCTAACTTGCTCAGATATCCACAAATATCTCACGCTGTTCTAGTTTGCGGTCAATACTTCGGACGTGTGGAGACAAATTAAATGAAATGGGGGTTAACTTAGTACTTTTCTGCACCCACTGGGGGATGAAGATGCGTGTGGGGACAAACATACTGTTATGGTAATTCCTTTCCCACACTTATGCGTACAATGTAAAACTGCCACGGTGTCTTTTATGTGCACGTAAAGGGGGGGGGGGGGTGTTGTGAGGGATTTTGCCCGGGTAGCGGCGCTACGGCCTACTCTTATATCGAATTCCAACTGCCAAGACATCTTTTACGTGCTGTACTTGTCAGGCCCTCCGTCCTGTATCACTGACAAAGGGAATCCACGCCGGAAAATCCGGATGAACTTTCTCGGCCAATGCAGGGATCGAACACCCGACCTCCAGGCTAGCGAGCCAGCGTCTTACCCACTTAGCCACGTGATCCCCCGGTTAGTGAGCCATTTCCATACACACCCGTGACACCGACTCGTTATAGAGCCATATTGTTTTTTTGTGTAATCTGTTGCAGGAATACATGATCAGCTACACCTTGTTGCTTGGCTCATTACTATGATAGGGAGCTAAATTCCCCATGACAAGTTCGCGCTCTTAATAGCTTTTGATTCACTTTGATAATTATGAGTAATTTAAGTAATACTGTATTATTAATTTGTAGTTAGGGTTATCGTTTTTGAAATGTGTTACATTTCATTTATTCTGAACCCCCATCTTTAAAGAACACGTACCTTTAATACAATAATATGTGCAAAGGTCAATGGAATCGATATAACAGTAGTGTGTAAGATAAAACTAAATTATTCATGGGATATTTCCTAACCTGTTAGTCACCAAAATGATTAGGTTTCATAACACACTCATCTATTGTACATTCATGGATGAGATTTTTTTTGGAACGGTTCATGAAGTGAAGCATACCTTCATTAATCATTACACACAGAAATTTAAAAACTTTCATACCGCCACGCCTCATAAACTTCCTCGTATGGACAGACACCCCTTTGTGGTATTCTATTCATTTTGCCTCATAACTGACATTTTAAAGAGCTTATATATCAACTTTCTGCAGCAATGATTCTCTGTGTATAAAATATTAAATTTGACCCATTCCATGTGACAAAATGTTCTTACTCTTACAAAAATAACCATAGAACCCACGTACAAATGTGCAACTTTTCGTTAAAGGTCTGGGAGTTTTAAGATCCATAATGTAACAGCTAAATCTGCCTATTGCACGGATTAGAACGGCCGCGTTAGTCTCGTTTGTCCAGTACCGTTTCTACGATAATAAATAATCAACACTTAATCTTCCAACACTCATAATTCCGCTCAGTATAAAGTAATTTAAAAGAAATTTTCAATATATTCATTTTTCATTATCTGTTTTTGAACTATTATCTAAATTTTACATATTGGGTCTTTGGTCCGATCTTCATGGATAAAAAATGGATCTGTAAAACAGTTGTCAAGGAGCTATTACAATAAAATGAATGATCAAATAAATAATTTGTCACCAGAATGGCCATTCAAAAATTGAGAATATTATAAGATGAACCAGAGAATGTTCTATTTTCAAGACGATCGAGCTGGGTGGGGCCTGATACATCTATCCTTGAACGTCTTCCTCCGTTCATCATAAATATTTACTTGTTTGAACTTTGACATACCTGTTTCTACCTGATACTCCCTAGCTCACGGCTAGTTGATCTTTTACTACACAGAGAAAGTTGTAATATAATATGTATTTTATAATTAGATTATTTCTATCTACATATCACAACTCAACACTACCTAGAAGTTCAAGGTGATGGTGTATACGGTACACAGCTAAAACAATCCATATAGCATAAACAACTTTACTAGTGTAAATTAGGAAATTACGAATTTAATTACTGTTGTTTTTGTTGGTCTTGTTCCTCTTGGGGTGACGCACTTCGAAAAAAGCCGAAGCTTCTGCTAATTCAAATTGACCGATTTGCTGACCAAAACGTTGATGGTCGTTAAGCGGGAGAAGCATGAGACACACTAGCCGAATCATTCGACCAAATCGTTCGCCCGAATGAGTGGACACGCTGGGCGAATTCTTGGCCCGATTCACTAGTCGATTGCATCACTTTTCACGTGATAAGTCACATGATTAAACATGTCAGCGACCAAGAAAAAGAAAAGAAATATCTGCAACGGTGGGAACTCTTTTAATTTTACGCCCTACTCGTCTCCTCCCCAAAAATAATACCCTCCGATTCTTTCTCGGAATTCCACGTTTCAGTCCTAGTCGGTATTTTGTCTTCATAAAATCATGTGACTTGCTTGACATCAGTGTGATTGGCTAATGAATTCTACAATCAGACGAATGCTTCGGCGAAGCGGACACACTATACTAGGGGTAATAAACACTGCGAATGAAAATTCGGCGGAATATATAAAACATATTTGATACTGGAAACACTAAGCGAATTGGAAGAGTGGAAGAGTAGATTTCTCCTTCTAAAACACCCGATATCACTTCTAATTAATTCGCGAAGTCATATAACTATGTTTTTCGTATACCATCCGAAGTACAAGTTACATTTCCTTTTCAGTCTCGCAAGCATTATCTCCGACAAGGGAAGGATGGCGGGTTCTGTTCTGTCAACGCTTTAACCCAGAATATTCTCGTCGAGACTCCTGTGTATGACCCCCAGGCAATTTTAAACCGCGAGTACTTTGAATTAAGATTATTGTACGATATATAGTGGCGACTGCAGGCCAGATGTGATGTACAATTTTATGATTATCTGATAATTTTACAAGGCTTAGACATTGAATTTTGCAACAAAAATGGTATTCAATGCATTCCTTTTGTATATGACTCGCGACCATCAGAATTTCATCGGAAAAACAACGCCCGTCTGTCTCTTTTCATAATATCAAAAACCACCGCAGCCATTATATCTATGTCGCCCTTATATTATACTAACAGATAAAGTTGCAATAAAACTGAGCTGAATGTTTAATGTTAAAGTGTCACAACTCGTAATGTACAATGTAATCTTATAGATGTCATAAAAATGACATTTGCTAGATTTCGTGATTGTATCTAATGCTAGGTTCCCACAATCACGATTCGCGCTACGATTGAAGTCGTGGTTTTAATCGTGGAGTAATCAAGTCTTATCATATATTGCGGTCAGTCGTAGCATTCGTGTTGATCGTATCGAAACGTATCCGAACGTATCTTCACGTACCAGACCGTGGACTCAGTAGGGATAATCCTATCGTAACGCATTGCCAAATCAGATGTGTCTAGTCATTCGGGTGGGACGAAACTGAAGTCTCGTGTACGCGTTGATGTGCACATAAAAGAACCCTTGGCAGTTGGACATAGGACACTGCATGGTGTATCCCCCTGGTGAAGCAGTGGTATGTTATACCCCCATTTTATTTCATGTTAAACTTTTAGCCCATGGCATACCCTCTGTGTCTGACTGATTACAACCGAATCTGGTAGTTCTGTTCCTGGTGTGTTGATTTTTGAGATCTGTTAAAATGAAGTTGCGTGGATCGCCCTGTCCTATGCAAATGATCTAATCCTAATACATTTAGGGTAAACAATAAAAATGCTTATGTTACACATATCGTTACGATGGGCATTTAAGGACACTTTTGCTCTTGTTTTTATTTAGAGACTATTTTCTTAACCAGAAATTTTTGTCTAGCGATTTATTTTTAATAAACAGGTATATTATTTAGAAAGAATTTTTTCAGTTTTAGTAATTTACTTCCCCGCTGTAAATGCAACCATGTGTATTAAATAAACTATATGCTGGCTGGGGAACATGCTGTTCTGATATGTTTGTTCCTAGCAACAAAAAAACAAACAAAACATTCCAGGCCGCTTAATGAATTATAAAACGTATAAATTATTTCTTTTATCCAGGGCTCGGGGCTATAAAGCTTATAAAAACTTGCTCTTAGGCATTGACTGATAATTCAGCCACCGCTGGTTTAAGGATGTAAAATCTATTCATGCGTATATGTACGATTGTGAATTCTAACCACTGCGTGGAAAGGTATCATGCTACGTTAAATTTTATTGAACATTGAATCCAATCTAGGTTGCATGTTTAAAGGAGCTAAATCGCTAACATTTGGGACCTAGAAATTCACAAAAGTGGGTCGCAACGCATATAATACTGTAATATGAATGTATATAAACTGATTTACATTTAATGGTTTCCGTTTCCAATTTCAAATCAGTTATGTTCGGCGAAATAAGTCAGCAATCTCAATCGAGTGCAAATTTCTAGCGTCTAGTTATTCTAGTCTACATAACTCCATTTGATTTGGTGCAATGTGTCTAGCCTCGTCCCCCGAGTCTCTCAATACAACTGGGGCTGAAGCGCATTATGGTACACGATTCGTGTACCAATGTTAAAAAAATTATTTTATCTTAAATATCGGATATCAGAAGCTCATCTTTTCCCGGTAAGTTTACATCATCAATGTTGATTTAAATTGACCAATAATTCGTGTTTTCGATGTCGAAGATTTTGGAGGATCTTGAGTTACGGACTTAGGTCCTTTAATCAGAAGCCATAAAGTTGTGTGACGCTTCGTTTACGATCAGATTAAAAAATAACCCTGAACGACTTTTCTATAGATTTAACCACGGCAATCCAAATATTTTCATGAAACTATTTTGTTATTAGTGCGATAGCGTTAAACCGCTACACAGTCCAAATGGAAACTAAATTCAGTTTATGGGGATCTCGGATATATTATATTGTTTATAAACAACAAATAATTTTTGATCGTGTACGAAGATATCGGATGCACTTTTCAAAAATATATTGAGATATTCCCCGATAACCTCTTATATTTTGGCGCCAAAATGCTACTAACAGTACTGAGACGCCAGTAACCGAAAACTTGACTA